TTTTTTTTCGGTTTCAATACAAGATTTTTCAGTACATTTATTTCAGTTTCAATATTTTTTTCGGTTTCGTTTCAAGGTGACATCGCTCTGATTCCATAGTTTAAGTGTCTAGCTCATTTACTTTTAGTCACCGTTCACCTTTTGTGTATATTTTCATGCTGCCTGTCCAGAACAGGAGTGGATGCAAATCTCATATATAAAATATATAAAATTGAAAACCCAGGCATACTACAAGATCATCAGTTACCTTTGAACTTTGAAGTCATCTCTGTGCTTTTTACACTTGCTTTCCCCCTTTGTAGTTGGACAGAGTAGTATCAAGTTAAAGTTCCTTTTAAAAAATCTTAATTCTAAACCTCGATATTGACTAAATTCACAACTTTGTTGTTGTTGTTTTTTAGACTTAGTTAGAAGTCTCATATAAACCATGTGAAATCGTCATGTGAAAACAAAAATGTCAACAACTGTTGCTATTCTCTACAAATTAAAGGATGTCGTGAACAAGAAATCATTATACACACTTTATGGTTCTCTGTTGCTTCCATATATGACTTATTGTCTAGAGATATGGGGTAATGCATAAAACCAATACCCATCCTATGTTAAAGTTACAAAAAAAAAAAAAAACAGCTTTAAGAATTACAAATCAATAGAACTATAAAGAACTAACTAACATTTGATGTTTATTAATTTGAGTACCCTGAAATTTTATGTTTTAGTTGAATATAAAATGGCACAGATAATGTACAAAAAACAAAATAAAATGATTTGCTGCAGTGCTCAGAAGCAGTTTGAAGTCAGAGAGAGTCGATATGATTTGAGGGGAACAGATTTAAAAAAGAAAACAAGATAAAAACAAACAAAAAGCAGAGATATTAACTTGTTGAATAGTTATGACAGTAATTTAAAAAGATGTAGCTCATTTTCCTCGTTTAAAAATGTTAAAAACTGGAGCATTAGAAAAATATATAAATCAAGAATGAAGAAGAGTTAAAATGACAATGCTGAAACTCTTGGTTGTTTTTCTTGGACTGTTCTTATGAAATTTAATGTATTTACTTATCTAAGATGGAAGTGTTTGTGTTTTTATTGTTTTATTTTGCTCCTTTGCTTCAAACCCTGTGTAAATGAGCTTCTTGCTAAATGATGTGGCATGTGCTTCAGCCAATACCTTTTTGATTAGACTCATCTCATACTTTCTTGCTTTGTGGTAAATCTTTCTTCTGAGAGATTTGAATGCTAATCACCCCCCCCCCCCC